GGGCCCCCTTTTTGGTGAAAAAAAAAAAAAAGCCTTTTTTTTTTCGGCACCCCCTTATTTTTTCCAGGGGGGTTTTGTGTGTTTTGGGGAAAACTCCCCCCCCCTTTTTTGGGACACCAAAGTAAAAGGGGGGTGGGGGGTTTTTGGAATTTGGAAAACCCGCCCCCTTTCCCCAAAAACCAAAAAAATTTTTGAGGAAGGGGGGGGGCCCCGGGAATTTTTGGTTTTTAAAGGGGGAAAAAAAAAAAAAAACCTTTTTTTGCGGAAAAGGGAAGCGGGGGGGGGGGGGGGGGGGGGGGGGGGGGGGGGGGGTATTGTCGGCGCCGCGTCGGAAGTAAACAAATAGTAGAGACAAGAACCAAGACTGCCACCAAAAGCACGAAAAATAGGGATAGAATGACACGGTTCCAAGCGGTCTCCACCAACGGCACCCTGGTCTACAACAAGGATAGATAGCTGATCGTCGGAAACACAGAGCAATGGCCTCGGCATGCGGGCGCTACGGCTTGCGTCAGCCGTGAACAAGGTGTGATTACACCTCGTTGAGACTTCGACGCGGGATCCTCATTTCATGATTGAGCGGACCACGCGTTGCAATCAGAGCCAAACGGAACATGATCACAACGATTGCCCAATGTCCTTGGTTTAATTCCGTCTAGTATTGCCGTCCAGTTTCTTCAGAGAAAAAGGCCAGGGCTACAATACACATTTTGCACAGGAGCTGCTACTCCAGCAGCAGCAGCAGCAGCAGCAGCAGCAGCAGCAGCCAGCAGCAGCAGCCAGCAGCAGTAGGAGCCACACCACACTGGATTAACAGTACAGACATCCAACCGTCGCCGCTCTCGCGCCCGGCCCGCTACTCAAAAACGTTCTCGTATCCACCAAGAGCATGCCGCAACAGCCGTACGCTTGATGAGGCCGTTTCTAAGTCTGCACTCAGGTAACTAAAAGAAGACGGTTCTTCTCCACGATCGGCGTGACGAACGAGTCTTCTCTGCAAGAACAAGCACGCTCAAAAGAGCGCCCGGCGCTTGGCCCATCCCCTTCGTCTGAGGTTCCCCAGAAAGGCGCAGCTGTGTGCGTGCTTGAACCGTCGCTATCGCGTTCTGTTGCCGCTGTGGATATTGCTGTTACCGCTGGTGGTGGTGTTGCCGTTGTTGTCGTCTCCCAGCAGGCAATCCACCAACCGCTCCGCCGCCGCTCTGGGGCTTAGCTTTCCGAAGGCCAGGGGAATCTCGAGGCTCCTGGTGGCAATGTCGTGCAAGATAAAAATACAACAAAACGAAACTCAGGCAAAAAAGGACGACCGTGCCAGCCATCAATCTATCGAGTTTTCTCGTGCGCGTATTTCGCAACGGGTTTATTTACGGCAGCGGAAGGGTGCAGTACCGGTTAGCAACAAACTGCGGTGGGCGGAGTACGTGATGCAATCCATTCGTTTCGTATTTTTTAAATATTTTCGTATTTTCGTTCCATCTTTGACCGAAAATACCTAACAGCGGTGCCTCTCTCAAACAATCCCCCATCCCGGGGTCGCAAACAGGAGAACTCCCTCCTTCACGGTTCCTACTTTCAATTTGCGGCATCAGTGTCAGCCCCCCCCCCGACGACCATCTCATCTCTAGCTGCGTTGTCTCTGCCCACCGTTTAAAACAAACGAGGAAGAAGCCGATGCCGGCCTTCTACCTTCAACGCCCTGGGCATACCTTCAACATGTAGCACCTCCGAAAAACTCGCTGTTCGGTTTCGTACCCCCTCCTTTACATGACGCATCGGGCGAAAATACTCTTTCCAGGGAGGGGGGGATTCGCCTACATCGGGTGAGGGGGTGGACATCCTGCAATACTTTGAGATAAAAAGTGTGTGTGTACCTTTGTTGGTCTTTTGTTTTTTGGGGGGAGGGTACCCATTGCTTTGACCATGCCTTAGCGGTTATACCGTTGATCACGCGTGCTCGTGAGGACCGAGCATTGTTCCCACAGGACATGGGTGTGCTGTGTGCATTTGTTCTTTTATTGGGGGGGGGGGTTGGGTGCGGCAGCTTCATCAGAGGCCGAAAGAGAAAGATGGTTGACGCAAGACCTTTGTATCAATATCGAGTGATAGACACGAGGGGGGCAAGAGGGGTCCCGCGCATCATGTCCATTACACCCACAGTAACCCCTGGAGGCTGGCTCCGTAGATCAGTACTCTGCCGAGTATCCCAAACAGAAGAGGTTAAAAAAACAAGCAATGATGAAAAAATAGAGCCAAGAGGAGACTCACTTTGCGAGGGTCTGAACCTCTGCGTCGGCGACGGCGCGATCCATGAGCTGCTGGCGCAGGTGCTGGCGCATCCAGTGCGCCGCTTGCTGTTTTCTCCTCGAGCCCAACAGCCCGTTCCCCTCAATGAGGCTCCGGAACTTTACAACCTGAAAATAACCATAAGACAGCATAACGGCGGTATAACGTCGTGGTCTACGGCAGGGTTGGTTTTGTCTCCACATTCGAAATATTATGAACGAAGCAGAGAATATGCCGCCATCCATTTCGTTCATTGGGACAAACGACACGCCGGCAGCTTTCTGGTTGGGATACCCGCCTCGCAACAAGCCCGATATATCCCACACCAACAACGCAAACCCGTAGGCTAAAACATTTCCGTAGATTTGATCGACAAGCTAGGCGTTCTTTCTCCAGTGGCCAATGGTTGCTGCCAATAGTGTTGGATTTAATTTTTTACGATGCACCGAACGACGAAAATCGAGACACCCGGTCCCCAGAAAATGTGGGTCGAGCTAGGGCTCGAAGAACTGGTTCGTCCGTCCCACCTATCCAGATCACTCCGCTCCTGTCCGGTCCATCCTCGGACGTGTAGTACCGAGGCACCAGAGGTCCCGTCGCTCCCGACTGTGTCGAGACGGAGGCTGCCACTGGACTCAACCAACCGCCTCCTACAATCCCACGTCAACAAACAATGCGCGAAACTGGACGCCGGAAAAACC